CCGACTACGATGCCGGCGAAACGTTTGGGAATGTACCACGTCCACGGTTCAAATTTGGAAATGATCATGCGGACAATGGACCCCGGACTAGGCGCGTTCCAATAAGTCTTCCTACCAATATGACCATGTTGCGAAAACAAGGTCAAACAACCATTATGGTAGCATGTCTCTGACGAGTCGTGAATTTACTCATAATTACCGGTCCTTGAAAGCAACATTACGATCGCCTGGATCCACATACGAGTTGTGGCCTTCACCCTTGTTTATAGCACCAGATAATTAAAAATGGATCCTCATGTTGGCTTCTGATGAAAAAGTCTGCTTAGATGCACATGCTCTAGCTTAACTATTATTAGAAGAAACCATAAGACCATCATAGCGGTACTAAAGACCTTGCTGCATTCTCAATCACCACCAGCCTGACCTACATCTGCCAAGGATGCATCTCTGCAACGGGAACAACGCAGAAGAGAGTATCGTAACTAAAGGCATGTCCGAATCCCAGGGCCTCGTTCAGACAAAGCTCTGCCGGACCCACTCAGCGGCTCCGCCTTGTGGCTGCAGTTGGCCGAGCGCCAAACCCTCGGGGCTTTTGCCTCGAGGTAGCCTCAGGGTCAGTGGCAGTGTTGGCACAAGTCCACAGAATAGCCCAGCATGGACTGACAGATCCCGAGTCGAGTCGGTCGAGATGCGTGCTAAACGTAGGAGGGTACCGTTCCAATGCAAGAGAACTCCTCCGATTCATCATTTGGTCAGACAGTAAGTATTGACATGAGTTAATTCACGTGCTTTTAAAAATACTTCAAAAATAACCTTATGTTGGGAAACTCAATCTACTCTTAAGGCTGTGGTCTTTTGTGTGATAGCAGTGTCCTTTAGTTGTAGATAAGTTGTTTGACCCTATTTTCGCCACTTGGGCAAATTGGCCGGAGTTCACAGTATGCAGAATCATTTACAGAGTCGGAATGTGGACTTGGTACATTGCCAGACGTTTCTCTGTCATCGTCAGCGAATCTTGCCTGTCTTTGCACAACACTACAACGCGTCAAAGAGACAAGTAAAGTCGATCCTTTGACCAAATGTGTGCTAAAGAGTTGTGGTATCTCTCATTCTATCCTCTGCTATTCACCTCTCCTATATCCTCGTATCACCCCTTC